GGGAGGTCCATCGGTTGTTTCGAACAGCTTGAACGCGTCCAACTGACGAGTCCAGACTGCGCTTCGAGTAAGAAGACGTTTGTCTAAGAAAACCGTACGGTACCCCTCGGGATTCGTGATCCTAATTGTTGTTCCGTGACAGGATAAACCTCTAGTTGTGTTCTAGTGGACCGATTGGAAGGTAGGACCAAATATGTGACGCTATATCTTAAAATCTTAAGGTCATCAAAGTAACAAACGAGTTAACCGTTCGCAATGAAAAATTTATCTGGAAACATCAAGCCTCGTTTAATTTAGACAAATTCCTTCGATAAGCACAGAGTATTTATCTGGCGACTAGTATATTTCTGATTTCGTCATAAAATAGCCTCGTACCAGCCGAAAAGGTACCAAGGATCAATTTAGCTCCAGCGCAGCGAATTTCAACGCGTCAGACGCGGGCGTGCGCTCGAGTGGATTAATTAAAATCAGCGCAAACAGCCGTTGTTTTGCTCGGGTTTATACAGTAAATCAATTCAATCGCAGGTTAATTAATCGACGTCTCGTTTTGCGATTAAACGCGCCTCTCGCGCGACGTTGACACGAACGACAAAGTCTTTGAAAGGAACTTTCACCGTAACGCCGCGATAACAGGGACGCAAATTGGCGTTCATTACCACGGGAATCGATACGAAAGGAGCACTCGGGGTAAATGACGCTGATAATGACGGGCGCCGGAAGTCGCGCGGAATTATCGTCCCGGCGAATCGTGCCAAGCGACCTGCGGCATAAATCTTCGGCCGGCTGCGCTTTCAACGACATTAGCCAGGAGTTCGTAATTACGCCCGCTGTTGACGGAGTCATTTGTATACAAAGCCTGGCGGCGAACGAGTCGCGAGGCTTTGCGTTCGTCGTACGTGCCTGGCGAATACGTATTATCGACGAGAAATCCGAGCAAACGAACCGAGAAAGACGAATCAATATAACGAGCTGAATATAATCGCCCTTCGAACGATCGACGCGTATAGACGAACGAACGCGCAATTAAAAGTGGATGGACAGACTTTCTACACTTTTAACACGGAAATCGCGCGGTTTGGAAAGTTCAATCCGTATACTCGACACGTTCACTGCTGTAATCGCGAATATTCCTACCAGGGCAAACATTTTATTTCTATAGAATTACGAATTGCATCACTGACTACGGCCACAAATAGTTACAATGTTGTTATAATGAATTTTGCTTTCACGCATGGGTCTGTCAAACGTGCCCGGTTCGACTACGTTGCATACCGATGTGGCTCGTTCGTCGAGACAAAGGAACCGCAAATCAGGATTCGCGCGACAATACGCGGACAGAGCACGGCGCGATTACTGAACTAGAGCCGCTACGAACGTCTGTACACGCAGCGTCGTAACAAGAGCTCGAATCAACCATGCACCGAATGTAAAACTGTAAATTCGCAGAGAATACGGGACGACTTCGACTTCGCGGATCTCTCGCTCTATTTCACGCTCGATTTCTCGCGCCATCTCGATAAAGTCCGATTACGCCGGATGTGCGTGGACAACGGATGGGGTTCCATTACGGAGCGAAGTCGGACATGGCCGTCCGCTGTACCGTTTCGAGAGAACGAACGACCAAATCTTTCGCGTATAACCTGATATCCGTGGGAACCTTTAACTTCCGAGCAAATTGAAAACTTGAAACGGGGAACTTTATATACCGGAACAGTAGGTCAGAGAAATGTACATAAAGAACGTCGCGTCGAACGAAAAGAAAGCGAGGAAAACTGAGTCCGTCGCTTCCGCTTTGAATCGAACATTTCGAGAAGGTAATTTAACAAAATTTTTATATTTCTCGTTTAGAGTTCATTAGTTAGACGTTTATAATTCGCGAGGGTGAGCAAAATCTCGAGGTCGGAAACGTTAATTCGATCATGGTAAAGGCCGATAAACAGATCGAGAGCTTCATTTCGAAAGGGCTCGAGAATCAGGTCGAAATCTCGATAGCTAATTGCTATCAGCTAATAAGCTGAAAATTAGCTGGAAATAAAAAGCTGAAATCAAGCTGTCCCCTACGGTCGAATAAATACAAATCGAATGGGAAGTGGAAATGACGAGAACCTAGGAAACGATAGGATACAGGCAATTTATAGGGTACCGGCGAACGTTATATCGTCAAGGATCCTCGATGGAACGAAAATGTGTACAGGACTTCGGGGAACGAACGCGAAATAGTTAAATCGACAAATCGATCCGCGTCGATCGCCAGAATAGAGCGGATTGTGAGAGCCGAATGGAATGTGCTTGGATTCCTAATACGGAGTTTCATTTAACGCGTGACCCCTTCTTTCGTACCCCGTCGCGTACGTTTCGAAACTTCCAAGGAGCGAGGCTGTGAGAAGGCTTCGTCTTCCTTGCATTTCAACGACAGAGTTTTAGAAAAATTTGTTTATTTCGTGAGAGGATTTCAGAATGGATACAAACAGATTAACAGGAATCCGCCGGATTCTGTTAAACGAAAGACCGACAATTAAGCTAATTCTTAAAATTTCGTCCAGGGCACGACACCTCTGCGAACAAAAATTTCGAGCGAATTTTTGCGAGACAAACAGAAACGACACACGAAATATGGACTAAAACAGACGACTCCGTTTCCATGAATCTTAACGTATATCATACCTCCACGACCGAAATTGCAAGAATCAAAACTACTCGAACGCTGTAAAGTAAAGTAAACGGTACCGCTTTAAAAGAAATCTTGAATTACCTCGATTCCGTTCGAGATGAATCGATATCCGAAACGAAATTCGGGCTGGTCACCGTGCGACCAACGTAAATGAAACCTGGAAATAACGTATTATTTCTCCCGTTTCGACCGTCGATTGAATTAACGTTGTAAACGAAAACGAAATCGAGGCTGTTATCAGGGATCGAAGGAAGGGAAAAAAGGGTAGCGCGCATGCGCACCGCGGGGCGCCGCGTTCGAGAATCGTGGCGGGCCAAGCGGCGTTCATTCAGTTCACTGGCACTATTTGCTCGCCATGGTTGCCGTTCTTCGAGATACCTGGTCGCGTCTAACTTCTTCTCGTCACGTGTTTACCTCTGCCCTTCGTAGCTCACTGATCTTCGTAATTTGCGATCGTTCGCGAACGACGCGGATCGTTCGAAAACGCATCGACGCACGATCGACGAGTGCTCGTGCGGGAAACGTTGTCGTCGGGTCTCGATGCAATCGTTGAACTTCGTCTCCATCGAGAAACACGGGAGAAACCGGTGCGAACGCGTCGATGGAAACGAACCAAGTTACGATGCGCGATGTGCTCGTGAAGTTTTGCCACGGGACCACCGACGAACTTCTCTAAACGAACGGTGAGAAGTTATGTTACCGGCCGCAAGAACTTTGTACGTGGCGGCGCGGTGAAAGAAAAGGTTGGATTTTTATTCTTCTCTCGCACGAGTTATTCTTTCGTCCTGTACGGTTTTACATAAGTAGAGATGGTAATGCGATATAAGTTACCCTTGGTCGAATTCCTCGGAAAGTAAAGGGCGGTCTCGAGATGTTTAATTACCACGCGATAATTAACGAGAAACAACGGTGCACTCCTAGTTTGCGGTGTTTCAACTCCGTCGTCCAACGTGGGCCAGGATTACAGTACTTTGGGATCGGTTAAATTTTCATTGTTTCGTCGACGTGTACGCTAGGTAATTAATTTCAGCTCTATCGTTTTAGACGTTTAGATCGTTCGTGCTTCGCTCTTAGTTCGATTGTAAAAATAAAATTACGCGAACATTTTCGAATTATTACGACCCTTTTTCTTTTGATTTAATTAAATCTGAATGTTGTCCCTCGATGAAAATAGAAGCGAACGTTTAATTCTGGAAGCGAGAATTGCTAGAAGTGACGTGGTTAGGGCAGGTCGTTTCGCAGATGCAATTCATATCTCATCGGCACGTACGATCGGCTGAAACGAGGCGGAATTAGGTTTCGGATAGATTTCGATAGCGAGAGAAGTTAATTGGTGTTAACCGAGCGTTCCAAGGTATCTATATACTTGAGATGCCAGCGACCCACATACAGCGTTTATGAGCGATAGACAGGGTAGACGTACAAAGGAGGTAGGGTAAAAATATTTATCTCGGCGTCGATGCGGTGTTAACGCTGGAACAAGGAACGATTCGACGGTGAATCGTAAACTGGACGCTATTTTTGTCGCATTCGTTTAAAAAAACTCGCGCCACATTGGTTGCATCTTTATTCGCGAATCATCCTGGCGAGTTTCTAATTAACGTACAATTTCCGACGAAAATAAAAATGCGGATGAAATTTGGATACTTTGGCTATCCTTTGTTCGAAATTCCGGTCGAAACAGTACAAGTTTCTCGCCTAACCGAGAAAGGAGTTGCCGTATTTCCGTTTCTCTCGCTTTTATCGTCGAAATAATAACGTAATAAGGCTTTTAAACGGTACAGCGAAGTCTTAATTGGTCTTGGAACTTTCGAACTGCTTTAAAGTCTCGACTGGCTTCACGAGACTAAACGATCTCGAATTTCCTCGACGGCTTTTAAACTTTTAACGAGTCTCCTGCATTTTGCATAACCAGTGAAGTACTATCTATGCACGTTCATAAATCTGTTACGTACCCGTGGAGTACAGATAAGCCTTTCGAAAATTGTCCGAATTAATAATTCATGGTTCGTCGACCGTTCTCCCTCGATCGCAGAAAAAGTGGCGAAGCCATCGCACCGATACATTAAAATATATACATCAACATAATATACATTAACATATATACATTAACGACCACGCTTCCTTTGAGCCCGTCTTGGCTTACAAATACATGTATTCGTAAAAGCCGCCACGACATCCGCCATTTTTAACCGACTTCGAAAAGGAGGAAGTTACTCGATTCGACGTGTATATTTGTTTTTTTTTTTCTTTTCTTTCCCCAGTACCTCTGCCGAGTCACGGGCAGTTCATCCGTGTAGTTCCGTGTAACGTCGAACGAAAAGCCCGATTCTCGTCAGGGAGAACGAATCCCCGTCCGAGACAGCGACAGGGGGCTAAAATCGATCAAGTTCGAGTTGGTTGTTCGAAGAGATCCCTCGTGCCGCGGGTGGAACGATCGTTTACCGGTTCGAGGGCAACGCAGCCAACGATCTCGGCAAGTATCGCCTTCGAGGAAGCGTACGCAAGAGTCACGAAGAAGCAGTTTATAATGTCACCGAAAGCCACGATCGTCTCGAAGTCAAAGGAAACCGTACACGACGATCGTTCACAAGCTGCGACGTTCCTTTCGCGATTCCCGATGGATTTTCGCCCCGTGAACCATCCACGTGTCCGAGCATCGCCGCGATTTCGTGTCGAGTCGAACGTCAAGTTGCCCACGTAAGAGGTTACCACGCGCGTTTTGCTTGGCGGACGTCGGCGACGATGGTGAACCGTAAATACGTAACTCGGTAATCGCGTTCACGCGCAATCGGCGAGGTGAAATTTCGACGACGAGGTGCGCGAGTGTACCAAGTGCACGTTTTACGAGACGCGAAACGTCGCGTCCGCGCCGGAATTGCAGAGAGGACACGCAAGTGGACAAGATGGACAATTGACGATAGAACGGGAAGAGAGCCGGCGGGGAGGACAGGCGATTGAAACGTTCCATCCAACCGACTCACGGGACGAAAATGTTGTCCACGGTGTCCAGTGTCGCGTTCGAATTGAATTCTTCCTACTACGCGACCATTGCTGGAGGCGACGATCAAGAGGGCCTCTCCGGTACGCTCATATGTGTTTCAATTCAACGCGATCTACCAATTGATTTCTTTTTTTTTTTTTGTTTTTTTTTTTTTCTAGACGACAGGTGGTTACATTTTCCGTTACGAAGCCGTAGATTATGGATGCCTTTCTTGAAAACTGATTGAGCTAGTTCCTTTCGCGTTCCTAGCTTCAACTATATAAGCAACTACTTCCGATAATATTTTCAACTTTAGAATCGTATACTACGCTTACAGCATCCTTGTTTAACGCGTGTAGTAATCGATCGTTTTCAAGACTAAGCTAGGTTTTGATTCGTTTGCAACGAATTCTTAGACGATTCATAGACCTATCGAATTTATATATTCAAGTCGATTTAACATTTCTACGGGCTTGCAAAATTTTACGTTTGACATTGGGAAATGTTATCGTTTCAGTAGTCAAGCCTCAAAACGCGACCACAGACCTCTACATGTTGCCTGCTTACATTCGCACGACGTCCATGGTTGTCTGCATCGTAGTGATGGTCCTGGGTATTATAGGAAACCTTATGGTGAGTCCTCGTCTTGATTTCACAATCGAGGTAGTTGTTTCGTGATGGTCGAGTTCAAAAATATAATTACGAATCTTGATATCGTTTTTCATAAAAAAAAACTGCCACCTATATATGGCGATCAACGTGTCAAGGGGCTTGGAACATCGATAAATGAAGAAAAATCACTTTTTAACCAAAATTTTGTTCAACTTGGAAAATTTTTAAAAAATTAACCGTTTTGAATTTCAAAAAAATACTCAGTGATTTTTCTTCATTTTTTGATGTTCCAAGCCCCTTAAATAAATCCGCAGACCACCTCGTTTCTCTAAAAAATAGCGTCGAGCTCGACGAAGGTGGATAAGCGACGGTATCTCGTTACACCGGGGATTGTTGATGGTTTTCAGGTGCCGTTGGTCGTGTTCCGCGGCAAGGACATGCGAAACAGCACGAACATCTTCCTGGTGAACCTGAGCGTGGCGGATCTCTGCGTCCTCCTGATATGCACGCCTGCCGTCCTCATCGAGGTCAACTCCGGACCGCAGATCTGGCCGCTCGGTGAACACATGTGTAAGTCACGATCCCCGGTTACACAGCTCGTACCTATTATTACACACGCTGGTCGGTTCGGGACGTCGAACGATCGTTCGATTCCCGCGAATCGATCAGCAACCAGCCGCTGAAAGTTGTTCGATCGGGTCCGCGTGTTATCGAAAGGTTTCTCGATAAACGGACACGAATATCGAGTATTTCTTCCTAGCGCGGATGCTTGGACGGCCGAATGCGTTTTTCAAAGACTCGGATCGACGGTGCTCGATGTTTTTTCGCTCGGAGAGAATAATTACCTGGTTTCCAATATGAATTTTCGAGAAACCGTGGTTCCGTGGGATTCATTTTGCTTGGCAAACATGCCGTCTAATTTAATTAAATCAATCGAATGCAAATAAGCGAGTAAATAAAGCAAATGCAGCTAAGCAAATAAACGAAGGCAAACAAGCAGGGGTATTCATTTATATTTATTTGCTTGCGTAGGGCTGGAGGGGTTTTCGAATTAAAACGACCGCATGTCACCTCGGCTATAGTTCGATCTCGACTACTGCCGGAGATCGTATTTCGTATCGATTCCCTACGTTCGTGTGCATTTGTAGTAACGTTCGGTTTCGTTTCATCTCGAGGCTAGGTTCAGAGATTTAATCGAGGAAATTTTCTGATGCTCCGAACACGAATTATTTTTATTTCCAATGTAAAAAGAAGGAATCGAAATAGCTCGATGCCAATGGTGCCTGATCTCTCTATGTTTGAATCATCCCCGAGCGAAACGCTCCGTACCCGAGTAATCAGCGTCGAGTCGAGTTAGGTTCGTCTTCCCCTGCAAACGTAACGTTACTTTTATCCGGAGTGCATATCCATTCCGAAAACTATTTCCCTCGAACGTACAAAAAACCTCCCCGACCCCGTTTTCCATGCAGCCAAACGGAAAGCTGGTTCCCAAGAGCCACTTCTCAAGAAGACCGCGATTTATCGTTCAAACGCAACATCTGCCACTGCAAACATCTCTAGTGTTTGGAAACTTTGACGCGTGTAATTTAGATATTTCCTGCTCGCGTGATTTAGATTGTATAACGTTTATACAATGTATATTCCATTCGAGCATTCGCCATTCCATCGATTGCCTCTTTTCGGAGACCATTGTACCTTCAAATTTTTAATACGAAATATTTTTAATTCTGTCCCGAAAGCGTTAAGGAGCGGCTCGGTTAATATATATTAAGCTCAGTTTTTGCGAGGGGAGTTTTGTCGAGGAGAGACAGGGTTTTAAGCTGAGCTCTACTTCAAGTCGTAATTAATTACGTTGGAGCGACGTCGCTGATTCTACTTCGGCCAAGAATTTCAGTCTTCGTTACCGCTGGATGGCGTGGCATAATATTGAAAGTTTTAAAGCTTCCATCAGCTAACGTGAGCCGGGTACGAAGGTTCCACGAAATTCATTAAACCCGCCCCGGCACGTCTTCGCGTTATATCAGAGCGAACCAGAAAATATCGCGCGTTTTAGTCGTCTTTCCTGTTACTCTTAAATCTTCCATCGAGGTAAAGTTGCCGGACGTATCGTTGGGAAGTTCCTTTCGCGCTGGTCGCAAAAATTGATCTCCGTAATAAAATTCCAGCGTATCTGGAATCTACCCACGAGTACGAGGGACAATCGTCCGAGTTTTATGGATTCGTAAAATCCTTTGGCAAAATCCGTAAGGACGGCTACCATTGGAAGGAATGTTACGTCATATTCGATACTCTTAAGACATCCTCTTCGACGTTACGATCACCGAAACGCGCTCCACTTTCGTAAAAGCCAGTTTCTAATTCATCGCGAACTCTCTGATTATGGAAAACGAGGAGCTTCGGATTCGTGACGCGGAGATGAATAAAATAGCGAACATGTTTAACGACCTGAGAAGTGCGGCGCAGCTAGAGTGCCGTTATTAAAATTTACCATCGATTACAATTTAATTTCGCGTAGCTATCATCTTGATAACGCAGCAGAACGGCGATATAAAGTCAATGAAAATGATTAGTCAACGTGTCTCCTCGTGTCGCTCCGTTAGAAATTCGCGAAAGTTATTATCCCAGTGATGGGTGAGCATCGAGAACGTCTCTCCGAGGAGTGTCGAGGATCTTAACGCGTTGATCGCCGCGTTCATCCGTATACAGCTGACAAGATTTTTCATCGAGAAACTAAACGAGACGTTGAAGGAAATAAATCTGCAGAGAATTCGCGAATTTGGCGAAATTGCAAAAGTATGTACCAGTTAAATATAATGCAATAAGACACAAAATGTAATGCTACATTGTAACGTGGACCCTGTAATAGCTAAATATCTGACATTAAAATAAAATAAATTAGAAACGAAAGTAACTATTTTAGATTCGACAAAAATAATGTTCAGTTATATAAAAAAACAAAAATTATTAGGCGTGTATAAATTTCCACGAGTTGTTTGGCAGTCAACGTGTTAAAGAGATTTGCAAGCCGAGTAACAAGCTCGCGAACGTTGGAATCGAATCCGGTACAGTCTTTATCTTATAGGAACTTCGTGATCTACTTACGCCCCCAAGACCTTCCCCAGCGTCCAACACCGTTTTTGGCATAAGTCGCAACGTCGGTACGAACGTTCGTCGTCTGTTCAGAGTTTACAACCGCCAAGAATAATCCCTTGGTTCCCTCGGGGAGCCAACTATTCGCGACTCTCTCGGTTTCCTATCCAACGCCAGCCAGCGTGGGTTGATTAATTAATTAAATTAATCAAATTCATACGTCATCCGCGTCTCGTCGATTTCATACATCTGTGATCGTGTACTCGAGTCCTTTCCGAGTAATTGTTACTCTGGTAATTTCATGCATTTATACGACCAAGTGAAAATCACGTAGAAAATGTACCCGCGGAATATATTTCGTAAAATAACGCAATGATATTAATGTTTCGATTTACATCCTAGTTTGCATTCTGGTTACGTTTCATATTTGTTTTTACATTTTTGCGGACGAACGTATACGTGTTTTCGCAGTTTGGTAACTATGTTGGCGAGCTTCGTTTTGTTTTGTTCGATATTCCGGACGTGTATTTGTCGACTTTTTAATGCCGTTCGGTAAATATTTTTCGTACTGAATTTTTGGAAGGCCGTTCGATACGCAGCGCGGTTGAATGCAACTTGTTTAGCTTATTCGCTCGTGATTCGCTGTTTCTACTTGTGCAGCGCTTGCAAACATGGTCGGTAGTTTGGACGTAATTTAGTTGGTGCTATTGATCTTAATATTTTCTGACTGGCTAGAACCAGTTTACACACGGGATCCATTGCGTGGTCAATATTTACCTGTACCAACACGAGTAGAAACAGCGATCAACGAACGGACACGTTAATCGAGTCGAATTCACCGAAATTAACACGTTCACGCCGATGCTGCTATTTCTATTTCTCGTCATAGGGCGGCGCGATGGTACATGCCATCTGGTAGACACGCAAGCGTGGACCACCGGTGGTACACGCCGGCGCGAACGTATCGAGTCGAGCATATTCCTTTTCGAAAATTGTCAAACCCGTGTAAATTCTGCATACGATTCTTGGCGCGAACCGTTCAATTCGTTTCACCACGTTGAATTTATTCCCACCGTCCTTTTCACGTTCTTCCAGATCGTTTGGGGAGATTTTTGAATGATTTACCGCGCTATTCACTCCGACCTTTTTCACCGCTCTTATCTATCCTTGCGTTTCATCTTTTTCAACCTCCCACGCTTCTTCCTACGTGCACGGAGTTTGATAAATATACCGCTCACGGTTTATCCGCAATTTCATTCCTGTTCTTATTGCGTCTCCCCGTCCGTTCGTTTTTCCTCGGTTTCCCCGTGCTTTTGTTTATTAAGCTTTAGGAGTCCGCGCGACACAGCAACCGTAGAAACGGAAACCGTGAAAGCCTCGAAAATTACATTCCCGATAACTTCATTCCGAGGATTCCGTATATATATATCCACGGATCCAACGGAAAATTTTCACAATCGCCGCGAATTGTTTATTTTCCATTCGCATCGGCAAACGTTGTTTATAGAGTTTCATTAGAGCCTGACGAGAACCGATAAACTGGCATGTTCGAAACGTCGTTTCAAATTTACGTCCAGCGAAGGAATTTCCGTTTCAATGATCCCGCTACCCGTAGCAATATTTCATATTCTATTACGAGATCACCGAGGGAGCGAAACATTATTGCTCATTTATTATTGGAAACGGCGTCGAAGGGCGGCGTGTTTACACTTGTCGATCGAATTATTACGGGAGAGAAGATTGTTTTCTCCGGTACTGTCTCCTGGAAAACCTTCGAGACTTCTCTAAGAGACGTCTCCTTGGAAACTGTATTTCTCGCCCTAGTAATGTATTTCTAGACCTAGAATTCGCATTAAAAACCTTGAAACGGTGGGAATGTTTCCGTATTTTCCGCGAAGGTCGACATTTTCTCCTGAAAATTTTCCACGTCGTCCGAACGTTAACGTTTAAAATCTGACAACCCGACGCACCGTGTAAGCTATCCGATAGCACGTATCGTTCTCTCGAGTAACCTGTTTCTCCCCTAAGCCCGTTACAATTTGATCATCGACTGTAAAACCCTCGCAGACGAGCTCTGCTCCTCCCGTTTCTCCCGTAACACGGTATTATACTCTTCTTTTTTTTTTATTTTTTTTTTTTTTTCTTTCTTTCGACGACAACACGTAGGCTGTAGCACTTTCTCGTTATCGTCGAGAGAGCCGTGAAACGATTGAACGAATGCAGAAGGAGGGTTGGACGGAATCATGCAGCGAACGGCGAGGCATCGCGAAGGGTCCGCGTCGTATACTCGATGCGGTTACCGAGGGTTGGAGGGGGATGGCTAACATCGAGGGATGGCTGATGGGAATAGCATTTAGGCGTCTGGCCTTTATGAGGCTGCGTACGAGCTTCGCTTTAAGTTGATGCCCTTACCTCCCCTCTCGTCCGTGGAATGCTACCCTCGCGTTCTTGGCGCGTCTTCTCCGCGTCGAAGACTTTGT